TTCGGTGTTGTATCATAATGTTATCGTGATGAGTGTTCGGACTAAGTACTCATATCATGTAACTGCAGTTATTGTTGTAATCAGAAATATTCCGTATGGTGACACTTTTGTTTGTTTGTACTCTTGTTTAATATGTGTTAGTAATTCGCTTATGAACATTTATTACTTATGTTGAACTAATTATTTATATGTTTCTGATCAATCTATTTGATGCAGGTATGGCGTACGACACACCGGCGCTGTTGAACCGTGGGATTGACAGGAACCACCGCTCGTTCCTGTCAGCAGTCGAGGGTGCACAGCTCGGCACCTTCCGTCCACGCACGTCGCGCGAGTGGTTGCGTGTCGACCCCCGTCACGTTCCTTGGTACGCGTATGTTCACATTTCAACTCAACTTTGCTTTGTGCTGTACTTATGTTTGAAGTTTGCTCTATACAGGTTGCGTGCGGCAGGCCTTCTACCACTTTGTAGGCTTGTTGAGGCGGCGGCGGACGACCGTGACCCAGCGAAGCGGTGGGATGCAGACCGGTCACTCCTCGCCGCTCTGGTAGACCGCTGGAGACCTGAGACGCACACGTTCCACCTTCCCTGTGGGGAGATGGCTCCGACACTGCAGGACGTGTCGTACCTGCTCGGGCTACCGCTGGCGGGAGCACCAGTTGGTCCCGTGGACGGTGTTTTTGGGTGGAAGGAGGATATCACTGCGCGCTTCGAGCAGGTGATGCGCCTTCCACACCTAGGACCGGCCAACACCCTTCCTCCGTACTCTACAGTCGGGCCTAGCAAGGCTTGGTTGCTCCAGTTCACTGTAAGTAAATAAGTTGTTATTATCATACATGCTTATTTGCGATCAACAGAGTGTTTTGTACTAACATTTCATTCTTAATTGTAGGCGGACCTTCTGCACCCTGACGCTGATGATTACTCGGTCCGACGCTCCCTTGAGGCGTACCTGTTATGGTTGTTCGGGTGGGTGATGTTCACTAGCACCCACGGGCACGCTGTGGACTTCCGGCTGGTCCACTACGCACGGTCCATCGCGGATGCTCAGCCACAGGACGTGCCGCAGTGGAGCTGGGGTTCTGCCGTGCTAGCAGCCACGTACCGTGCCCTCTGTGAGGCGTGCACGAAGACTGACGCGGGAGCGATCATCGCTGGCTGCCCTATGTTGCTTCAGCTTTGGGCAGCCGAGAGGTTTGCCATAGGTCGACCAGTGGTGGACAGCGCACCCTACGGGGTTGGTCGCAGCGCGCAGTGGCCAGAGGACGGCCCCACGATGGGGACTTACTGGTGTCGACGTGGGGTTAGTGCAACTTCGCTGCGTTATAAGTTTATCAGTCGTCTTCTTTTTTTCTTCACATAACATGTCTAATTCCGATCATGTTTATTGCAGCGTCGTTATGCTCACGTCCAGGTGAGACGAGGTTACCCGGACTTCGTGTTCGAGTTTGACCGTCTCCAGCCGAGCGACGTCATCTGGGAGCCCTACACAGAAGAGGCTGTCGCTGCGAGAGCACCGCTAGGACTTTCGTCCTTGTGCACACGCGACCAGGCTTACTGGCTCACCATCCTGCCGATGGTGTTCGACATTTTCGTTGAGCCTCACTGCCCGCAGCGTGTGATGAGACAGTTCGGACTTAGGCAGGTGTTTCCGGGCAACGTGCAGCCGACCGTCCTCCCTGCCGACCACTCGTGAGTTCGGATTGTTCATTTCTAAATTTTTATGATAATTACTTCATCGAGCCATATAATTTACCTCTCTTCACAGGTTGACTCGACGGGGACAGCTAGCAGGCGCACTTTGGGCTCCACGTGTACAGCAGTACGTTGACGACTGGGTGTTAGCTACAGAGGAGGTGATCAACGAGCTCTTCCCACACACGGAGGAGAACTACCGTGACTACCTTCGCTGGTACCTTCCTCGCACTCGTGCGCGTGTGACCTTCACTCTAGACGCCCCAGAGCCGCACGTTGCCGCTGTCACGGACGCGTATCCCACGCACCGTGACCGAGACTACTTCGTGGCGGTACGTCCAATTTGTATTACTTCTTACAATTATTTCATTTATCTTGCATAATATAGGACAACTACTGAATTTTTTATTTCCATCTTGCATAGGCCGATGCCGCACGGGATATCAGTGCCGATATCACCGCAGTCCAAGTGAGGTTGAACAGAGGTTTGCACTTGACTGACGTTGAGCAGAGGGTGACCTTCGACCGGATGCAGCAGAAGATGCGTGCGGTCATGCGCGTCTTCTCCTGTCGCAGCGCCGTGGACGTCGTACCTCCAGCTGGTCCGGTACAACCACGGCCTCGCGCGCCTACCGTCGGAGCAGGACCTCGACCTACGGCACCTGTTTCGCACGGTACTGCTCAGCCCAGAGGTTTCTTAAGTTTTGTTTCTGTTTTTCTACGAAAACATCACCCCGTCGTAACTTGATGTTCCATCCTCGCAGGACCTCGTTTGCCTTCGAGCGCCCCTAGCTTCGGAGCAGTGCGACCTACAGCACCGGTTTCGCACGGTACAGTTCAGCCCAGATATTAGCTCATTTTTGTTTCAGCTTTTGCACGAATATGTCACCATGTTTTAACTGCACGTTTCCTCATCGCAGGACCTCGTCTGCCTTCGAGCGCGTTCGCAGGCACGACCGGCGCTTCCGCGAGCTCCGCAGGGGCGTTCGCCACCTCTTCGGGCGCGTTCGCCAGCTCTTCCTCTCACGGAGCGTCGATCCCTCGCCTACACGGTACTTTACTTTTTATTACTACTGTTAAATACTTGTACAAAACTGATGGTCCTTGTCCAGCAGGATTTGCAGCCGGGATCTTCGGTACTGGGGTCTCTTCGTCTCACGCCGGTAGGACTGGTCCTACTAGCCAGTTCTACGACGACGACTTGCACGGTGCACACCACCACGACGTACTAGGCTCCTCTCAGCTTGGAGGAGCTCCAGAGGCGCACACTCAGGAGCAGCCAGAGGTCACACCTGTACAGGCAGGACGGGTTGGCCGTGCCGTACCCCCGGACCGACTCACGTACTCCCAGGGGCACATTAGGGCGCAGGGTAGGAGGGATAGGGGTAAGAGGCCTCGTCAGTAGTGTTCTACCTCTTCAGTCCTTATGTGACCGTTTCTTTTGGCTTACAAACTTGTAAAGCAGTACTACTTTTGCTATTACTACTGCAGTACTACTTGTGTTTGTCTCGTCTACATAGTTCTTTTCATTCATATGGTGCTAGAACAACTTATGCTCACGACAACACACTTTCGGCGCTTCACGGTAGTGTCAGATCCAGTAGCGCGCACAGTCCACAACAGCACACATGAAAAGCGGCAGCTCGAGTTATCACTATCAACTTTCGGCGCTGCCTGTTGACATAAAGTGAATCACGCCCACGTGTGATCGTCTTGTCACATCTAATGAATAATGTATCTCATTGAGTTCACATATATTGCAGTGAAAACGACGCTATATAATTGACAATCTGAAGGCAACCTCTTCATATCTTCTTTCCCACTAGCACACCACACACGAAAATGGAAGCCTATTCATTGGTAATACGTAATCTAGATTTGAGATTATGTAGAACATTCTTCACTACAATTTTACATTTTGGCAGCAAACCAAATATGATCAAATGCAATTTTACCTTACCAAATATTTGGTAGTGCCAAAACTTGCTTATATTTTGGCACTAACAAAATATTTGTACGGTAACAATCCAAATATGCCCTAAAAAATAATAAAATTGTATTTACCAGTATTGGAGATTTTAATCTTGTATAGTTTTCAATATAAAAAGATTTGATAACTATTGATATTTATACAAAAATATAGAGCACAGTATAAAATCGCCCTCCCCCAGGGCGGCAAGGGGGCCGCCTGCAAAATTCCATGCCCCCTCGCCGCCCATTTGCAGGCGCCCCCCCCCCCCCACAGTACAAAATCGCCCTAGCGGAGGGCGGCAAGGGGGCCGCCTGCAAAATTCCATGCCCCCCCTCGCCGCCCATTTGCAGGCGGCCCCCCGCACAGTATAAAATCGCCCTAGCGGAGGGCGGCAAGGGGGCCGCCTGCAAATTTCGTTGACGGCCGTCGCCCGAGAGCGAACGGCCGGCTGCCACGTTATTTTCGCCGCCCTCTGAGAGGGCGATTTTTAAAAATCGCCCTCCCAGAGGGCGGTAGGCGACTACTTCCGTCAATTTTCAAAATGGAAAATTATTTTTGTAAAACTTTTAATAAAAAAAATTATAAATAAAAAAAATTCGGAAAAGCTTACGTTGGTGGTGACCTATTGTGCGAGGGGGAGTTCCTTCTGGTTAGCGCAACCGAGTAGTGCAAAGGGCACCTAGTATTGTGTGATTCTCTTGTAGAATCATTGTTTAGAATAGGATGAGGTTCATTGCTTGAGAAGAGTTGAGTTCTGAACTGAACCTACGGCTTTGAGGCTATCTTTACATTTTACCTGTTAGATGAATTCAGTTCAAATGTCCAAAGCGCCATATGTTCAGTTCAGGCGCTTAATTCTACTTATCTGTCTGTGTGCTGTTGTAAACTTTTAATACATGATACAATCTCTTCCATAGGAATTTCATGAGATAAACAGTGATTGTTCGGTTGTGCTTATATTGAATTTCTGGTGATATTTAACACTCATTCTACTCAAATACCAGCAATCAAATATCAAAATTTTCATGTAATCTTCTCATAGCACTCCCATGAATTTCCCAATCTTTTGTTCTATGAAGAATTGAAATGTCAAATGCTTCACTGATGATCTTTTTCCTATTCTTTTGTACCCAGAAGCCTCTCTAACAGGGGATAATAACAAAGAACAGTTATCTTTGACCCTTTTCTGTTTTACACAGGCCTTTCATTTGCCAACAAACAACCGTAGGAATGGAAAAAAAAAAGAAGCTAAGGGTAAAGTACTCTCTCTAGTCATTGTAAACGTGCAAAGTCAACTTGAATTAGTCAACACAAACACACCATAATAACATCCATGGTTGTTACAACTGAACTTCAAGGAACCATCAAGATCCAAGTCATCTTGGTTGCCTAGTCAACTCTTTCTGTTCACAAGAGATAAGTTGGCTGAATTCTGTTAATTAGTAGACTCCAAATCATTAGCTGTCCTGGGTTGTCTTGAGGCTATCATCATAGCTTAGAAGATGGCTAATCTTGTGGCAATGAACATGAAGAGGAAAGAACATGCTGAGGTGGCCAACAATGGATTGTCCATCTTTCTTGATCCTAAGAGGCTCAAATTACAGGTATGGCAATAGCAATTGGCAAATGCTGTCCAATCCTCACTCTTCTGTACTAATTAATATACATAAGTTTTTCTTTTTTACGAGATCGTGTTAGAAGCTAGCAGAATTTGGGCTAAATAGTAGAAAAGCATGAGATCATCAACATGGCAAGATTCCATGGTTGATTCACTATACTCACCTCAATCTATAATCTGCCTGAATTGTTCAAAAACCTAAAACCATTATCAATTCACAGTGGAAACCAAGAACATAAACTGAGGCATTCAATTCAGTTCATGTTTTGAGGGCAATTGAAACATTTAATCCATGAGTTCTAATGTTTCATCTCTTCTTTCTGTCATCAGGATGGTGAGATTCCAGACATGATGGAGGAAGAGAAACCATCAGCAGGTGTTCAACTTGATCCTAATGTGCCAACCATGGCCTTATCATGGATGCTACCAACTCAGGGCCAAGAGACTACCCATGACACTATGAACACTGCATATGAGATGTCATCTTCAGAAACGCCGCCACTCAGAGCAGACCAAGCCGCCACCGCGGCGCCGATGGACGTCGAGGTTCAGCTCCGGTAGCGGCAGCCTCAGGCGGCGCCGTGTCAGCAGGCTCATTTCCGGTCAGGTTAGTGAACAGCAGACGATGCTAGCTAGGCCATGTTGATGATGATTTTACCTGTGAAAAAATAGCCTTCAGGAATCAGGATTCTGGTAGTAAGTAGAGTAGTAGATCGAGCTGAAGGACCATGGTGTTCTTGATTTTGATTTTTTATTTCTTCAGTTAGTATTTATGAATACATGTGGGCTGGATATTTGAAATATTTGGGGAGTGAAATATCACTTTATAAGTATTTTCTTTTTTTTTTTGGCTAATTGAAATGATTGGTTCCTACCATGCAGGTTTCTTCTGAACTGTAAGAGGCTGCTGGAATTGGGGGGAGTAAAAATGACAAACTCCTACAAGTTGCTCTGAACTTGTATTGGGGGGAGTAAAAATGACAAACTCCTACAAGTTGCTCTGAACTCTGAACTTGTTAACGTTAGCATGTGACTAGCATAGGGTGTTTCCAAATCCATGTTGTCATATGCCACAATGTGCTGATCCAGACTAGTATTTGTCGGAGCAATGTATGCTGATTTGATGGTTAAGAGTATGCAATGTGAAATTCATCTGCAGATTCTCTCTTTCAGATGAGTTTCGTGTATTGTTTTGTGAGAAATTACATAAAATATCCAAAGAAAACCATGTTTAGTGTAACGATGCTGTTGAACGGACAGAAGCCTGGAGAGCCTTAGTCGCCTACTGCCCTTAACCAGAATGTCATGTGTCCAATTATTTCATCTCAAAACACAAATTCATCTTCAGCATTCCCTGATTTAGTATCAGAAATTTGATGGATTAAACAAAGTGAACATAAAATTCTCAGACAGGGCAAATGAAATAAATGAAATAGACCACGGTCATCGCACAGCTCATTGTCTCATAAGTGTCGTTTGGTACAATTAGGGAGTATGCAACTCTAATCACTCCACACACTGTTAAGTAATAACATACAAGTATACAACAATGGTTTGCTGAGCACCTGTTCAGCTATGAATATTGTCCCCTCCAGGGACAACAAAAGTAAAAAGAAAAAAAGAATCATGTATGTGAATTCTGGCTGTTAAGTGGATTTTCCTGCCAAAAGGGCGACGGCAGATTTTTAATTTAGTTCCTTGAGCTGGTTCCCATGCTGAATGGCCATCAATTATAACTGACTATGACCTTTCTATAGCCGAGTAACTGTTGAAATCTCTGTTGTAGAATTATCTTGAATAAATGTGGCAGCATGCCGTCCCCCCTCTGTTTTAGTGCAAAAATAAGTGCCACGATATTTCTGAGCCATTAATCTCCAGAGACAAATTTCTTTTGTGTGTAGTATCTATCTTCGCTTGCCTTCTTTTTCAAGTTCCTTTTCTGTTTACAGAAAGAATACAGCAATAATGTAAAGTAGAGAAAATACTACTGATCAAGCAGACCAAAACACAAATTATTTTTATTCATAAAGTAAATCCCTGAGACAGAAAATGTACCTTGTAAGCTTCATGGTTATCGATTATTCTGGTAGCCACTGAAACTGTTGTTATAGGTTTGGTGCTTGTGATTGTTTGGAAGATACCCATGCTCTTTGGAACAGCGTATGAATCAATACCGACCTGCAGCATGGATTCGTTAAGTTCCAAGGAAAATTGGGCAACTCATTATGGTAATCTTTCAACCTGTAATTAGATTAAGATTAAGTGCTTACCACAGAACTACCCTCGGTTACTGTCCCATGCACAACCAATGAAATGTTAAATGTGGTAATCTGCATCATTTGATAAGAGAAAGTGTGAGGGCTTATTCAGTTGTCAAAAAGATGTCATGACACTGCATTGTGTTCACTACAATAGTTCTTTAAACCTATTCACGCAAACATAGCTAAACATATGTGAACATACCATATCCCTTGAAACCTCCCATGGGGCACCTATTATAACTTCATCAACATAGCGACATGCAAGTACACTGAGAGTACGCTCATGGAGGTGCATGATAGGACGATACCCTCTTCTATCCCTGGACATTTAATTTGCATAAGCATCTTATATGAACTTACAAAAGAGTCACATAACATGAATTGGTCTCAAATGTATTTTACGTTCGCTTATTATTAACTAGTTTCCGATACCAAATAAGTACCTGATTGCCTGGTCATCATGGACACCAACAAGAAGGAAGTCACCAAGTTGCCTAGCACTTCTGAGGATCTGCATTAAACAAAAACAATATACACTTAAACTCTGGAACATGTGAACCACTGGGTGAATTATGGTAAAATTATTGGCAAATGATAACATGAACCACAAAAATTACCTCAACATGGCCGGCATGAAAAAGGTCAAAAGCACCATCTATATACACAACGCGAGCACCTGGCGAAGGAGCCTGAGTGCATATGAGCATATTGTTCAATAAAACCAATAGAGTGACATACTGACATGTCATAGAAATATGTACGAAAATTACCAACTTTATACTGTCAACATTATCATTCATGACCAAGATTGAAACAATACATACGGGTGTATTATCATTAATGTGTGTGATCAGTCAGATTAGCTCAGAGTTATTTTTTATCCATAACCATGCTAAATAAAGAACACTCACATGGAACCATAAGAATGTTGAGTAACCTTAGCCCCAACACAAGTGAGAAAAATCAGAGTTCCTTAAAATTTCATACCTGTCCATTTGAAAACTGCATTATCCGGCGAGATGTTGGAAGAAAATTGGATAGCTGACTTTTCACTTTATCACATGTTGCTCCAGTGTTCTGATTTGCATCTGTGGTAGTTTCCATACTGCCAGCCTCTTTCTGCTTGAATGTCAGTAGTATCCTCCCTGGGTGGAAAAAGAATACAGTTCCCACATTAAGATCACAATAGACTGAGAATATATGACATTGATGGCCACCAAGAGAATTAAATCCCAAAAGAATAGTGTCGATACTGAACCATGTGGTCATCTTACCGACTATATCAGTGCTTGAGACACCTTCAGTGCGTTTGATTTGCTTGTAGCGTCCAACCTTCTTTGCCAACGCATAAGCATCCGTTCCATCAGGTAGAAGACAAGGATCATCTCCATGTATAATGTAATCAATGTTATATTTATTGAAGAGGGTATTCATAAATTCTTCCGTGATCTCATAGGGCGCGTTGGGAATGACCTCGTCCACCCACTTCAATCCACTAACAAGTGTCAACCTATACAGAAATAGCAAGTCAATGGGGAACCAGAATATTGTACATCTAGCTAAAGGAGAATTTGCGGTTAATATTAAAATAACCTAGGACAAGGCAATTTATAATCTCGAGAGGACAATATCAACGATCATCAATAACATAATAGAGTACTTCAGCAAAATGAATTCAGAATATTTTATAGCATGCCTCACAATACTAGCAAGGAGCCAAGGAAACCTACATTTTAGAGTTAATGTACAATTGAAGATTGTGTAATTCCATGACTGCCAATTCCAAGAGGTCTAGAACTCTAGCTTTTAAATGTTTTGGATATCAAATGATAAGATGGTGATTCTACAAGCTTTCCCAGTCAATTTTGTAATCCTACTGCTAACATCAACAGCATAATTTTAAGGAGAAATTGATAGTGTATTGCACAAAACAAGAACTATTTTCTGCAGTACCTCTCTTCCATTGAAAGCACAGGTGGACCCTTGTTCGCCACAATCTCCTCATCACTAACAACTCCCACTACAAGTTGATCTCCCAACAACTTGGCCTGCCGTAATGCATTTGCATGGCCATAGTGCATGAGGTCAAAGCATCCATCCATGTACACTCTCACAGGCCTTTTCCGTTCCTTCTTCTTTGGAAGTTGTCCTAGATATGGCCAAAAATATGGGGCAAAAGGAGCACCAATTCCTCCAAAGTAGCCTGTCGATAACCAAAGAATGGCGACAGTGACCATAACTCCTCCAATCCCAAACAGCTGGGAATAATATCCACTATTCCAGAGCCCTTGGTTGCTCTCAAACGCTAGCAAACCCATCATCATTTGACAAGCAGGTGTATTATCTTGGTATTATATCTGAAAATAAAGAATAAGCAACCAAAATAAGATCCCAGAGTTGACAGAATTGTGACATGAAAGGATAGTGATATACACAGAGATGGAAATCGTGTCGTTGTCCAACCAATGGAGATTCATTCTAATTTCTTTATTATTTTATAAACAAAAGAAAGTGACTGCATAGAAGGAAAGTGTCTTTTTTAAAAAAAATAATTTATTGCGAAAGGTTTGACAGATGTTAGACGCATAAGCACAAGAAATAGCTACCAAGTCATGCTGTAACCACCAGATATTTCATAAAGCTACTGCGCGAGAAGAAAATTGTTAGGAATACACAACAGACTTATGTTGCGTTTGCAGGAAGCCATATAACGACAAACAATGCTAGCCAAACAATGCACGCTGATTGCATGAACCGTGTTCTATCTTTCCCCATCAGCTCATCTCATAACAACAACTTCAATATACAATACAGAGCACAATGTGAAAATGTTGTTCTATATCACCAGGCATCAGAAATCAAACAGAATAGCCACTGGAACATGCATTATGTTAAGCCAAGTAAAGAAAATCTAGCGACAAACGGAACCATGATCCACCAACACTACAGGGGCGGATCCAACTTGGGACATGGGGGGTTCACAAACATTTCGGGGAACAAACAAACGGTTACTTGTATTAAGGTTAAGGCTCTGAAATTAAGAGAAGAGCTTCTTCCAGATCTAGAGGAGAAGCTAGGGTTAACGAACGAACGCAAGCGAATTCCAGACAAAACTAGTCCCGAAGGGAGAGAGAGAGAGATGAATCAGGAAGAGGCTCACCAGGATCCCCTCCCGTCCCCTGCTCTGCCCGCCAGATGGAGATCGCGGCCCCTCCCCTGTTCAGCCGCGACTCGTCTTGGCAGGAGACAAAGAGACGGGAGATTTCCCTTCTTTCATTTACGCCGCCAAGGGAAGGGAAGGGGAAGATACTCGGAGTCGGAGATATAATATAAGTACTACTCCTACTGCACATACACATGTATTCCCTTTTTCTATTAGAAATACATGTCTTTGTCCATTTTCTTATAAAGTTTTTTTTCTCAAATTACTTATCTGATCAATAATCCGATTACATCATTTTGTTCGTTGCAATTAAATCTTCACAACAAAATCTTACATGATTAAATTACAATGAAAAATTATTTATGTATGTAAATTACTTTATTATATATGTAAGTTACTTTTATCATATTTATGAATTACTTTTAGATTTGACTAAATTACTTCTTATACATTCATCATGCTCTAAGTTGATTGTTTTGATTATTTTTTTAGTCAATTCTATAATTTATGGACTTTAAATTTATTTTTACATAGACCATATTTTTCTCTCTAATGAATTTACTTCTAATATTGTAACAACTTACTTCTATTTTGTGCTAAGTTATTTTTATGATTAATGCAAATTAATTTTAGACTTTATTAATTTATTTTCATAAATACATTTACTTAAAAATTTTCTCTACACTTTACTTGTGAATTTACTCTACGTAGTTTTTTATTCCAACTCAGTCACAATGTAACTACTTCTATTACAAAGAGTTACTTCTGTTGCATAGCTAAATTGTTTCTACAATTTAAATAATTACTTTTATATTAATAAAATATTTAAATATATTCAACATGTATCTTGTTTTGTCACATATTTTATGTAGAGCACAATGATGCAAATAGATCTTGAATAATACGTGATTTAAAATATATAAGTTATTAAAGAGGTTATATCAAAAAGTAATTTGAATATATATATATATATATATATATATATATATATATATATATATATATATATGATAAAGTAACTTACATATAATAAAAGTAATTTACAACATAGATATTTTTATCATAATATAATCATGTAAGATCTTGTTGTAAAGATTTAATTACAACGAACACAACGATATAATCGGATCATAGATCAAATAAGTAATTTAAGATAAAACTCTATAAGAAAAAAAAGACATGCACTATTGAGTATACTAGTAGCATCTAAAGTGAGGTCGTTGGATATGCCTAACCAGCAAGGGTCTCGTCGTAGTCACATCCTTACCTATTTGTCACTCTAACTATTGGTAATTAAGAATTTGCCACTAGACCTATATGTTATAGACACATGAAGCCCCACGTATCATAGATTATAAGTGGTAAATCCTTAATTACCATATCTTAAAAGTGGTAAAAAGTTAAAAGCCCCAGACGAGTACTCTCACTTTTATCTCAATATTTTTACTACTTTAAAACTAACTATTTCTTTATAAGACTAGTGGCCCACATACCAAAAATTAACAAACTCGGTTAGCGATTGTGTCGACAACAAAATCCTTATACCACCAACAACCACTAACCATCACTCTACGCACCACCACCACTGCTCTTCTCCATGAGCCACCATCGTTCCCCCTCTCCGCCTTTGCATGCGCAACCACACTCTTGTTACCCTCCATGAGCCACCCTTTTTTTTCTCCTCCCCTCTCGTCATGCACACTATTGTTATAGATGCCATTGAGGTCGCTAGTGTCGGGCTTGCAGGGACTCAGGGAGACAAGAGTTGACCCGATGAAGAGCGGAGACGCTAAATCCGGACTCCTTGCTAGATCTAGCGGTTCCCCAACTGTCGGAGGGAAAAAAATAGGGAGAGAGAGAGAGAGAGAGAGTTAGTGTGCAGAGTGGTTGGTGCGTCACCAGACTTGGAGATGGATGTACATAGCTATTACTAATAATCTCATGATATGTTGATGCATGAAGATACGGATTTCTACTAACACATGTTGATTAATTATGGTTAGAATAAAATTAACCGTCAATTTTGCTCAACAATAAAGCATTCAAATGTGGTCTCCTTTTCTTACTGCATGATATACGATGACTATATCAGTAGATATTTCCGTAATTCTTTCATATTATTTTTTTCTACATATACGTTAATTTGGACTAATATTTTTTTCTCATAATTAAATAGATAATAAATCATTTTTCATATTTCTCCTATAAAATGTGAATAGGGCATTGTATAATTTGAAAATTATATTATAAGTATATGTAATTTAGTGTGTAAGATATGGGCTTATAGTATAAGATTTAACTTTTTGTAAAAATGTCGCACGATAGTAGATAGGTAATGAACTGAAAAACCAAAAAAAAAATACAGAGAATCCATTGTGTGTTACTGATTTTATTCTTGTTCTACAATATGTCACTGGGTTTGTCAAGTTCTAATATGCCATTGTACTTTGCTTAACTTCTATAACATACCATCGTCGTCTAGTTAGCTTCCATTACTATTGTACAATTTTATCATAATGATCGAAATAGCCCTGGGACAAAAAATTCCAAATATTAGATTGTAAAACTTCCAAAGTTTGAGATGGGCAACTTGTTTGCCTTGTTTATAATATGATATTTCGGAATTTTCGGCCAAATTCTGGAATTTCCGTCCTTGTGATATTTCGGTTATTGGGACAAAATTATACAGTATTAACGGAGTCTAAATGGACGGCGACGGTATTAGAGGTTAAGCAAAATACGATGGCATATTGTATAACTTGACAACTCAGTGGCATATTATAGAATAGGGACAAAGTCAGCGACACACAATGGATTCTCTCTAAAAAATAATCTAGTCAAATTGTTTCTTTATTTCATTCAAAATAAAACATTTTTTTACCAAATACGTTAGGAGAACTTCGAAAGAATGTAAGAAAAAGAGGAGGTTAGTCACTAGCTCAAACACACGTGTGGAAAAGTTACTCACCTCCATAGTACGGTATATACTCACATTAATCGATAATATACTAATATTATTAAAATTGTTCTTCATCGTAATATAGTGTGAAACTAAAACTTTACCCTTATATTTTTCTATTGTTACATCTTCTTCTTGTTTTCTAATTCTTATTTATTTTTGATAATAATATTGCTACAACCAACACTATTACTTGCACATGAATACTAGCAGGTAAGTCATGTGTGTGTGCTCCGTAATAGATATTATCTATGTTTTTACATGAGTAAACAATAAGTATTATCTTTGTTAATGATATTGTATTTATATAAGATACCTGACTAGTTACTTAACAAGTGGAAAGATATTTTTGTTAAACATAATCTAGAATGCTATAAATATTAATGCTATTGAACGATATATAATCATATAAATTTTTTTATGGACGAATTAGAGATTGACAATTGTTATGAATCCAATGATCATAATGCTATATATATATTGTTCAAGTGAGTTGTGACATTCTATTTATTTACTAGTTACATGTCTATGCATTACAATGGGATCTAGAGATAAAAATAAGATTTAGTATATTTCTTGTCCAATTTTTATGATATATTGGTTTTTTTATACTTCATTAGAGATAATATTATATAATAATTAGAATTTTTTTTTTGTTTTATAAGTAGATTAGTTTGTTGTATCCTCATTTATAAAATCATACGTCTGTTACTGCAACACTAGCATTCATGATATCACACAAATTAAAAGGCATTAATCAGAAATAGCTAGCCAATAAATTAAAAGGCATCCATCAGACATAGCTAGCCAATAGTGATAGGTACCTGCATAATTCTGACTTAACTTCTTCATGGTATCACCGACGGCACCCTGGAATGGCGAGTTCCATGTTCCGAGCTTTTGACGTTGGATGAAGCCGAAGCCAAAAGGTCCAAACTTGTTGTTCCTGGAACTGGGCCTCCCTAGTCCCCCATGCCCATGACAGTGAGCACGATGCCCATGATAGGAGATCTCGACACTCGGCCGTGACAGTCAGTGAACAAGAGGCATCGCCCGGCTGGTGTGCGAGGAGCATGGAGTGCCTGTGCTCAACGTATTCGACCGGTTGTCCATCTCACCGAGAACCTCTAAAATTGCAGCCTTTGGAGGGCGAGGAGGTCGATGACTGTATTATCAATACGTAACGTACCGGTGGGTATGCATCCGCTGCGAAGAACAAGCCGGTGGAGAGGAGGATGATGGTGAAGAACACGAACGACGAGGATGATGGTGAAGAACACGAACGACGTGGTTCCCATAGCTTGCCATTGACGGGATGAAGGGGTCGGTGAAGGCGGCCGAGGAGGAAGATGGGAACGAAGGTGGCGAGGAAGTTGTGCTAGTTGCCGAGGAGGACGACGGGGACGAAGAAGATCGGTGATGGCGGACGTGGCGATGTTGGTGCGCTGCTGGGGAGGACGCCGAGGACGACGAGGTCGGCGCGGCGCCGGTGACCGGAGTGGAGGGGGAGGGTGGTGGTGGAAGCTGCAATACACTGCTATGCTCTATTTACGGTCAAAAATGAGTCTGGTATCGATAAAAAATGAGTCTGTTCTCGGTCTCCACATCCTCTGGCTGTGTTGCCGGTAGACATGGGCAAATGGGTCGTTCGACCCGGCACCTCAGATCTGGCTAGAAAAGTTTATTATACATCCCTCATATCTTTGCCACTTTCCTGCGTGCTGTCCTTTCACCGAAATGGCAAGACACCAAGCTCTCTTTCTTTCCCCTTATTTTTTCTTTTTCCTCACCGCCAGCGTCACCGGCCCCCTCTGCCGCCAGTTGTCTCCTAGCGCGGGCCCGGGCGAGACGTCGCCCCCGGCCCTCGAATCCATCCGTCCGTGGCGTGATGACGTCCTAGGGTTGGTCGGATGGACCGGGCCGGGCTAATTAAATTTCCCTACTGCATGTTGTGTCCTATGCGCTATGTGCAACTAGAAGTAGAAGCAGCCCGATACTACACTGGTATAAGTAGCAGCTTGGTGGTCGATGTGTGCAACAAGCCAGGGGGACACAAAAGAATCTCTGCATGCCTCCCATTCCGTGCATGCATGATGCATGTTCGATTGCTTCTACTCCAATCTGGGGCTGCCATTAAAGGGGTGCAACCGAAAACGGCACAGTCAAAGCAGGTGCTCGTACCGTGAAACGAAGCCCCTCTCTTTATCCATTTATCTATGATCTGCTGCGCTGCAGAGCTAGCTGCTGCTGCACATTAATCTGATCTCATGGTCGTGGAGCAGCAGCATGTTTGTCTGCTAGCTTACTATTCTAGGGGCCATATAGCATGTGAGAGGGATTTCTCTTCGTCTCTCCTCTTTTTTGTTGTTGCCCATGTGAAAGAAAAGCAGATGCAGCTGCAGCTGGACAGGTTGCAGAACAAACGAGGCCTTTGTGGCCGCACAGTTCTCCGAATGAGCAGTGGATCCCGGGGAGCAGGGGCGGATTCAACGTGGTTGCAGGAGGGACTTGAGTTCCCCTTACCCTCTCCGAACCTATGGAGTACCCCTTGAGCCGCCCTCCCCCCCCCCCCCCCCCTCCCCCCTCAAAAATTTCGCCAAGGAAGCAGCAGTGTGACTGCTGTGAAGGTCTTTGGAGGCTGGAGGTTGAAGAAAGCGCGAAATTGGGCCAAGGGGAAGCTATTGGGCTTTCATCTTACTCACAGAGAAAATTTGTTGCAGGCCAACAGGCCACATCTAGCCCCCAGCCCAACTACCTATTTCCCCAATCCCCACCCCCAAATCCCTAACAGCCATTGGGGCGACCCCGTGCGGCGGCGCAAGAGGCGAGCAGCGAGGGGGTCGGCGGCACGGCGGCACCGGCGAGGTGGACCGGCAAGCAGCATGTGGAAGCGTGTGGCGGCAGCTTGCACGACCTCGTGAGCAGCGGAGCACGCGGCGGTGAGTCCGCACGAGCATCAAAAGGAGCAGCAGCAGGCCACACCGCCACGGGAGCTTGCGGAGGCAGCGGAGCAGCTGAGCAAGAGCAGCCCGCAGCCTGCAGCCCATAGGCGAGCAGCAGTAGGCCGGCGGCTGCAAAACAACTAAACAAAAAAAAGGTATGTAAATATGTAATGTAATTGTGATTAGTGATTACTTAATTGGAAATTTGGAATGATTCAATCCATTAGCAGTTTAGCACCTGATTTAGCACTTATTCATTTTGTTTGTCTAGACTGAATCGCAGCATGTCGAAAAGAACATTGTTCAACTATTATTCGAGTGGCAGCAGCAGTACCCCTACTGCAGAGGATGATGAGAACATAAGGCAACAAAAAATGGCAAGGGTAGAGTATGTCGGTGTTTCCAGTATGTTGACACTCCCCCCCCCCCCAAAAAAAAAAAAAAAATTCATTCTTGGATCCGCCCCTGTGGGGGAGCGCGCGAGAGAATTCGTGAAAATGTTCACACACTCTCTCTCTCTCTCTCTCTCTCTCTCTCCCTGCCTACTGCTACTGCCACGGGCCACGGCGCAGAAAGCGGCAAAAAGGCTACGCGCATACAGCAGAGGTCTCGTGGTTTTGCCCGAGCTAGGGCATGGTGTTGTACGGTTTGACGACGTACACACATAACATGCACCGTGCTATGCGCATACGGGGGTGGCCGGTTAGTCCGATTCGGTACGTGCCTATGTGAGAGAAACGACGCGTGATTTTGCCCACTCGTAACAGTGACACGACGCAATGCAGGCGATCGTTGTCTTGTGGATTGTTTCCATGTTGCAATGAGCGCTAGAATTGCAGGCATATATCCTTCGTTTGTTATCACTAATTAAAACCTTATGAGTGTGTCATGACGAAACAACGTTCCAATGAGTTGAATCTGTGGATAATTAATGCAGCAAAATGTCTCTACATGGTGTGTTTTCGTTGGTGCCACTTAGGCACTTTTTGGTTTTGATTTTTGATCGCACCCAAATTTTGTAGAGCTCCTAGTAGACATTTTCTTTTGACACTAGGAATTAGATTGCATGTTTGAAATTATTTTTTCCCAAAGAAAATAACTAAGGCTAGGATCCTACTATTACCTGTTTTATGCTTGCCATCCATGCGATTAAGCAGCAGCGCTGTAATACAGGATTAATTGAGGCCGTATGATCTGTTTCAGTAATCTGTAGCCATCATAGGCACCCACGCCTCTCATCACAGGAGCGCATGGAAGCGGTGGTTGGTTTGTGGTCTGTGAGCTAGTACAATGGTTATAATCTTTTTTGCTTCCTTTTGGTTTATCTCCTCCCGATTTTTATTTGGGTTAATTGGATCCATGCCACCGCAAATGTGGTAAATCAAAAAAATGCCACCACTATTCGTCATATCGCAGGCGTGCCACTACTATTGTGTCTAAATTGGATATGTGCCACAATATACCACACGCGTGTGCTTTTCCAGAGTTTAAGCATACCGTATTTTCATATGGACCAAAATGCCCCCGTGTCGCTGGGTTGTAAGCCATCGTGGTCTGGCTCGACGAGCTCGCCATCCATTCCCTACCTCACACCAAAACCCTAGATCTCGAAGGCGGCGACGATGGCGTCCGCGATGATTGTCAGCGCGACCTCGCTATCCATTCCCAACCTCACACCGAAACCCTAGAATCTTGAAGGCGGCATCGGAGGCGGTTGCGCAGGCGACGGCGACGACGACGACTGCCGACACGAGGATGGATTCACCGAGGCAAAAGCAGGACACACAGGCAAGCGGCAGTGTTGTTCGTCGACCGGGGGGATTAGCTCCTTCCATCCCCACATTGAAGTGCGCTTGCGATGTCCCCGCCGCGGCGCTCATTTTGAACACCCCGAGGAATCCTCGACGGTGATGGCTCCAGTGCGGCAAATCGGTAAGAAATGTTAAATTCTTGTGTTAATTGGCCAGTGCAATTGATCCAACTGAGTATGTGTTTGTGTGTGTTTGCAAAAGAAGGGTTTATGCTACTTATGGATTTGAGAAGACCTACTGAATGAGCACGCTGAATAAATGGTAGCATACTGCCAGGCCGGTGTGCAAGATTATCTGGGTGAAAGAATCGACATGCTTCAGCAACAGTTAACTGAGGCTCAACATGAGGCTCAACATCAAAATTGCAAGTTGTCTGAGCTGGTTGATTTTGTAGGACAATGAACTGAAGTTGATGAAGAAACATTTGGAAGAAGAAAAGATTACCCGTTCCAGATTACTTTATCTTGTGTTAGTGATGTCCCTTGTAATAGTTAGCTTAGTTATTTGTTCAAATTAGCTAAGTTGAGATGTATTGTAAAGAAGTCAGCTTCTGGTACTTCAATGAAGCCCCTGCTCCCCTATTTTGTATGTAATGAAGCATAATCTGTGATCAAATGTTGTGTGGCAGAAATGTTGAGTATTTTGGCAATGAAAAGTGATGCAGAAATGTTGAGTATTTTAAGTTAAAATGTTGAATAATGATAGTGATCCAATAATGTAGCAGTTTCCTTTTTGCAATAACCTCAATTTCAATTTTATTTCACAGATCACAGTATGTAAGACATTTGCACATCTTGTATGTTCACAGGAATAGCTAACCTCGTTGCCAAATATTGCATGTTCACAGGAATAGTTGTATGTTCACAAAAATAGTTGCATGTTCATAGGTGGCATTAAATTCACAAGAATAGCCAACCTTATGGCCAAATATTACATAATGAGTTCTCAGCAAAATGAGTTTTAGCAGAATAAACTGCATGTTCACATATGACATTACAGACCATGTTCCACAAGTCTTTAGCAATACTTGGCATTACAGATCAATATAATAGATTTAGCAAAATACTTAGTTTTAACATAATAAGCTGGAATAAAGCTGGCATTACAGACCAAGCAAGCTAGATAAACTTCTAATTACTCTAACAGGTGGTGCACTAGATGTAGCCAGAGCTTTCCTCTTCTGTGGTGTCTTCTTTTTCGTTGGTGTCTTCTTTTTCTTTTTTGGTGCAGATAAGCTAGCTTCATCTTCCCTGGACACTTGTCTCCTCCTCCAAATTGGTAAGCACTCAATTAGGGCAAACAGAACATAACATGGCAAAAAATGGAAAAAGGCTACAAATGTACCTTTTTCTGGGGGTGTATTAGCTGCCCATATCATGTTCATCACCAGGCCTAGCCTGTTTGCATGTCTTTTGGAAATGACCAAATCCATGACATCTCTTACATTTCACCTTCTTTCTTCCCGGCTCTAGACAACCCCTTATCCTCTGTACTCTAGGACTTCGAGCACCACTCTTTTGCCTAAGTGCATGCACCTTGAAGCCAAGATCAACTATTGGCCACTGTGATCTATGAGTCATGGGTGCAACTCTACCTGCATATGCAGCCCTAAACATCTGCACACTATAATATGGACTGACAAAATCTTGAATTATTCCTCTGTTAGTACATATCCAAGCCAATGCATGCCTGCATGGCTTACCTGATACTTGCCAAACCCTACAAGAGCACTTGCGATTGTCTAGATCAACAGTGTGCCTTCTAGTCATATTGTCAGCATCAACAAGAGTGACTTCTGCAAAGCCATCATCACTCCTTGCCACCTTAACAACCTTGAGAAGAGAAGTCAAATCATTCAACTGCTTCATCACTGACATAAGAATTTCATCACCCAGGTTCTTGGCCACTTCTCTTCTAGTGGTCATCTTCTCCATGATTAAGTCTCTAATGGAGTCAACTAATTCATGTGGAAGCAACTCTTTCAATCCTCTTATTTTAGCATTAATGCTCTCTGACATATTATTTGTCAAGTAATCACACTTGTTGCCTTCCCCAAACCCACATGTGTACCATATCCTTGAATGATGCTTCTCAAGAAACTGTATTGCTTCTGGCTTGGCTACATGTATTTGACCCATATGGTATTTGAAGCCTTCTTTTGTGTAGCTTTTAGTAACATGGTACAGATGATCAGTGATAACAGTACCATGAAACTTCTTCAAAAAGTTAGAATAGAGGTGCCTAATGCACTCTCTATGCTCCACAGGCATAGGAAATGAAGCATCAACAACCTTCTCTAACCCCTTGCAAGCATCTGCTGATATCACCAATCTTTCTGGACAACCAATTATCATCAGTTTCTGAGTGAAAATTTGCATATGCTACATAAAACAACCAGTTGTGACCATCTACAACAGTGGCTGAAGCTAACTGTCCAGTGTATTTACCAGTCAACTTAGTTGCATCTACACCTATAAAGGGTCTACATCCAGCAAGAAAGCCATCTATGCAAGGTTTTAGAGCTACAAATATGCGCTTAAAACACATTTTCTTGCTTGGAGACTTCTCCATTTCAGCCTTCCAGTTGAAAAGCAATTGAAAGCTCTCTTCAAATTTCCCGCGTATCTGTTCCAGTGCAACCTTCATGCCAAACCATGCCTTGGAATACTTCAACTTAGGCCTTGTTGTTTCAGCTTAAGATTATTGCAATCTAGATTATTAAACCAGATTACTCTAAGCTGGATTATAATAAGCTAACATAAAATAAGCTGCGACTTGTTTGTTTCTCTGGATTATTGAAGGCATCTAAGGGTAGTGGGTCTTTAGCCACCCAATAATCTGGAAAAAGCTCCTCCAGAGGAGATTATTAGATTATAGTAATCTGGCTTATAGATTATAATAATCTATCATAATAATCTACTTGTTTGTTTCAGCTTACTCATAATAATCCAAATTATAATAATCCTAAGCTGAATCAAACAGGGCCTTAATCTCATTGTTCTTCCAACTTCTCCTTGGCATCCTTTGCCTTCTTCTGTGGATTTTTCTTCACCCAGTCACCAATTATGTCAGCAATCCAGCCTTGTGTAGCCATCTTCCCTTCTCTTAGTTTTGTTGATGCACAATTATGGTCAAATGGAAGCACCTTATTCTACATGGCATGATGGACATTCATTAGTAACTGAAACAATTTAACTCAACTTTAACCATGTCATATAAAACACTGCTTACCTTATTTGTTTTACTGTCATAGATTCTTGAAGCACGAATGCGCCAAGGACAACCTTTAGCATGATACTTAGCAATGAATCTTGTTGGATCTGTCTCCAAATTAGCAAACTCAAAACCTTTCTTAATTGCATAATGCCTAATTTCTTTTCTATAAGATATAATGTCAGGGAACAATGCATCCTTCTCAATTTTTGGATTCTCTAGATCATGTATGACTCTAACAAGCTAGGGATCTTCATCAATAACTTCTACCTCAGGAGCTCCAACCCCTGTGGCAGCAGGCTAAGAAGATTGCCCTTCAACCCTTGTGGCAGAAGGCTGGGAAGAAGGGCCTTGAGAAGATTGGCTAGGGATTTCAGATGGTTGTGCAGGTTTTGGAGGAACATATAAGTGCTCATCATTAACACCCACATATTCCTCCTCATTGTCAAACATGTCTGATTCTCTAACATCTTCTTCCATTGTTGTAGGCTGTGCAGAACCTCCAACATTAGTTGCAGCTTGCCAAGAACCAACACTTGGTGTGGGATTCTCTAGAGGAATGACAACAATGGTCTCATACACATATGATGTGGCATCTAGTATTTCCTCATGAATTGTTACTATAAGGTGGAAACTCACCTCAGTTGCATACATCTCGAAAAAACCAGGCAGATCATTGTCCCCTAGGAGCCTAACAACCTGACCAATAGTTTTGTGAAAATACCACACTGATGGAGATTGGTTTGAACCCCAAGTAAACCCAGTCCTTATGCTTTTCATCAGAAAATAAAAGGAAAAACTCTCTGAATCGATAACCTAATGCCTAGTGTCACCTTTACTGATGATTTTCCTACCATCAGAATCTACTGTCACATAGACTTGAACACTAACATCGACTGAGAACTAGTGCCTACCAACGAATGACAAATAAACTCAAATCGTGCATAGCAGGGCGTACCATAACCTCACAAATAGCATATTCTAGCTCGACTAAGAGGTCTTAGGGGGAAGATACTCACGGTTTTGAAGTAACGCGTCGAAGGGATCCGCCCAGATCCATTGCCTCTGCTGCTGACGAGGGGAGCATAGGCATAGGGCCTGGCGCACTCATCCCTCCATTGGCGGTGACCAACTCCTCCTCGCCATTTGTGGTCGCGCTGACAGTTGTCGCTGTCGACGTCGCGGTAGCCGTCGTCGCCGCCTTCAGGATCTAGGGTTTTGGTTTGAGGTTGGGAATGGATGGTGAGCTGGTCGAGCCGGACCATGATGGCTTACAACCCAGTGATGCGGGGACATTGCGGTCCATACGAAAATATGGTATGCTCAAACTCTGGAAAAGCATGCGCATATGGTATATAGTGGCATGGATCCAATTTAAACACAATAGTAGTTTGACGCCCCGATATGACAAATAGTGGTGGTATTTTTCTGATTTGCCACATTTTGGAGTGGCATGGATCCAATTAACCCTTTTTTCTGCCTTGTTGCCCCAGCTTTTACTTGGGGTCCTGCCTTTCCCCCCTTTTTTCTATACATTTGGATTTTTGTGTCTTGCAGAGTAGGGGGTTCTCTACTGCTCTGTCCTTCCAGCTCTTCGAGGCGATCACTATCAGGCGGGGCTAGCTTCTTGCTGGAATTTTGTTTCAAAATTGGCTTCTTGCTTATCAATGAAATTGGCGCCAATTGTTTTGGTTATTGCTTTCCAATCCTACAGAATATGCAAGAAAGCAGTTTGAATTAGTGCTATACTAAACCAAGAAACTAGCTCTACTTCAAGAGTTAACTGAGCATACATAACATACAGCAGAAAATCGCTTATATGAATCAACCTAAATTGTCGAGTAGGAACTGAAGTGTCATTACCATGAAGGACATGTGAATCACCTTCAACTATTTCATACAAAATTCAGTCTAAATAGCTTTTTCCCTACGTCGCTCTCGCGCAGGCAAAACCCTAGCCTTGACACCTCACTGCTAGAAAGCCGAGCAACTAGCTGGGAAGGCGGCGGTAGGTACAACGAGATCCGGCGAAGCTCGTCCTCGATGCGGGAGGACAGAGCGGCACACGGCATAGCAGGACCATGGTGATCGGAGATGGCAAGGGCACGACGAATCAGGCGCTCCCAGAGGTGAATGCGACGTTCCCCAAGGTGGAGGTACAAATAGTGGGGGAGGTTGGCCATGGGAGCAAAGGTGGCGTCGGTGGTGCCGGATCTGGAGCTCCTAGATCCAGTTTCAACAGCGGCGCTGCGTTGACGGCATGGGGCTTCTAACACCGGGAGGAAGGTGGAGATGGGAGGAAGCGGACGACGCCGGCTAGGAATGGGGCCGGCATGGCGGTACGTGGCCGGCGGCAATATCACGGTGGCGCGTGGCTAGTGGGAGGAGCACGGTGGTGGAGGCCGGCGAGGCGCGCAACACCCGTGGTAGGGCTCCCAGGGAAAGGCCCCAGCACGGAGGAGCACAGCT